TGTCAGAGCAAGCCAGCCTCAGAAGAGGGGGAATGTCACAGAAGAAATGATTCACGATGTTGGGGCTACAGAAGTCCAGCTTGAGCAGACCTAGAGTGTGTGTCAGGGCATTAATGAGCCCACCCAGGTATGATGCAAGAACCATCTGAACACAGACACTTTGGGTCATAAGGACTGAATATGACAAGGGCTTTGCTATGGCCACATAGTGGTCATAAGCCATCATGGACAGTAGGATACCCTCCGTGGTTACATATACCAGAAAAAAGAAACTCTGTAGAACACAGCCAGAGAATGTCATGGACTTATGTTTTGACAAGAAATCGACCAGCATCTTAGGAATAAAGACAGTGGAGTAGCAGATGTCACAAAAGGCGAGGTTGCTGAGGAAGAAGTACATTGGGGTGTGCAGTCGGACATTTAACCAGATCAAGAGGATCATCCCCCAGTTACTTAACAGTGCGATGAGATAAATGAGGGTGAAAAGCAGAAAGAGAGGAATATGAAATTTAGGATTTTCATTTAAGCCTATTAGAAAGAATTCCTTCACAGCTATATGATTCTGACCTTCCATGTGCATTCAAGTTTATAAAACTTTGTTGCAGAGCAACTTGATGCTACTCCAATGAAAAAATGTGATTTTTTCATGATCCAATGTCCATCATAGCATGAGACATTTTAGATTCCCTGTTAATTGATGAAAAACTGATATTAACTTCCAGGGTGGATCATATATTTTCAGCTTTCCAATGCACATAGTGAATGTAATACTTAGAATATTGCATCATTTTATTCCTGGCTTATCAATATCCAAAAATGGGAAGAAAAGAAAAGTCTCTTATTTCACAGAACTGTTAATAGAACTGACTTTCACATCTAGGCCCTGATAACAAAACTTTGGCTCAATCTTTGATGTGTGACAGACATCTTCTTACACAAGCTACAATCTAACTAGCATCTTGTAATAACAAATCTTCCGTTATCTCATACTTAGACGGTTCTGATTTTATTTCATCCTCAATAATGCTCAAGTCCCTGACATATGTAATGTGCAGTCATTTCCTTTCCATATCTGAAACTTCAGACCGCATTTTGCTTCACCTTCTACCCAGAATCTCAATTTGGAACATCAGTACCTATGCCATCCTATAGAGTTGAGTTAGGAGAAAAATGAGCATCCACATTTTCATTTCCTATTTGGTATTCAAATGGCTTAATTATTAAGAATATCATTTAACTTGGCAAATTTCCATGTAGCATCTTTGTGATGTTCTTCTTGCAGGTCATTTATTTAATATCAAAGTGGCTTGAAAATCCATTGCAAAGAGATGGACTAAAACTACATCTGTTTGATATGCTTTATTTGTCATGAGATTTGCTTTGTTTGATATGCTTTTTATTTGACAAGCTTTATTTGTCATGCTTTATTTTCTGAATCAGACACTGTCCCTTAGTTTACATAGTTTTGAAATGAAATGATGCTACGAATTCAATAATATTTATGGGAAAATATAAACAAATTAATTCATCACAGTCTTATAGAGAAATAAATAATTCACATGTCCACACATAGGTAATAATTCCTGTAAATGAGAAAAAGAAAAGAAAGGGATGGGAGGTACAGTATTATATAATGCATCAGTTTATTGTTTCTGCTATAGAAATTTGCCACAAGATTGGTGGATTAAGATGACAATTATTCTCTTACAGTTTCAAGGTCAGAAGTCTGCAAAGGAGTTTTGCATGGTTGAATGTTGGATGTCAGTGCAACCATACCCCTTCCAGAGGTTCCAGCAGACAGTCCATTGCATTGGCTTTCTGAGTATGTAGAGTTATATTATTTAGCTACCATCCCTTTCCTCTGCCTTCAAAGACAGCAGAAGAGTGCATTTATGAGTCATCACACAGCTTCCCTTTTGGAGCAAAATTTTCCTTTGTTGTCTTATAAAAACGCTACCTCAAAGAACTAGGACTGGAAATCCCATTTGACCCCTCTATTCCACTGCTGGGGATCTTCCCCAAAGAATTAAAAGAATCATACCACAGTGATA